AACATCTTGTTTATTTCTATACCAAAGAATATATGCATGATATTATGACAGAATAGCCTTGAAAATATTAATAGATTAATACGATTAAGAGAGTGTAATCATATTGCAATTCTTCATGATATAACAAGAAGATGCAGATGCTACATCCACGCTCAAAAATCTTAAGTAGAATATTAGCTAATATATTATATTAATACTGTTAAATGTTGTATAAAATTTTTAAATTTATATGTAGATCATAAATAAAACTATACTGCTTTGGTGTCTGTAGTTCAAATAATCTTTGATAATTACTCTACCAATCAGAGGAAATAATTTACTTGTTTTCAGATTGGTGATAAGTGACACTTCGATAAGAAATTTTTTTGTCAGTGATAAAGACTTACTTAAAGTTTTTCTTTGTACGAGAAAGATGAAAAAATCAATGAGTATTCAATACAATCTAGTTGCTAATATTTGCATTAATTAAAGACTTATATTCATCCTTGCTTTCAACGTTTTTCGTCTAGAATAGCGAAATATTTTTTTATGGAATTTGTTTTGTCGGCACATAATTCTTTTAGTATCTTTATTTCCGACTTTATTTATGATAAGCAAATTGAGTTAGAAAAAAAAATTATTAGAAGTTTTGACAATCTAAATAGCTAATGCTATTCTAGTTTAAACGAAAGAAAATAAGTATCTAAAATTTAAATAGCTAATGCTATTTATATTTAATAGAAGCAAACATAGAAAGAGGAAATAATATTGATTAAAATAAGTAATGTTCTCGAGAATATTAATTGTCAACCATATACTTTCGAATTCGATTTCCATAATTGTCTGCAATATATAGATTTCCATTTTGATCGAATTTAAATCCACTAACACGACATATTTCCCTTGATTCACTAGTGAGATTGTTAGCACCTACAATAATTTCTCCTTGTTGTGCACCTGCTGACCATCGAACAACACGCGCATTTATAGAATCACCTACATAAATTTGTCTTTCATCATCATCAACAAAAACTGACGATGGATAATTTAATTGATTCAAATCAGTTCCTGGAAAATTTCCACCGGCTACAACTACACCTTCTTTACTACCAGGTGACCATCGTCGAACACATTGATTAACATAATCAGCAACGTATAAATTACCAGTTTTTTCGGTAACAAAAATACCCATTGGATGATACAATTGATTGGGTTCATGACCGTAGCCATTACCACCGGCTACTATCTCGCCGTTTTGTCCATTTTGATCAAATTTCAATACAGCAGATTGTTGCCAGTCGGACACATAAATATTTCCATTTCTATCAACATATATTCCTGAACAAGATTGAAGAATACTATTTCTTGGATCAATCACTGTTGTTGCTCTTCCATCTGGTGATATCCTTAGTATACGACGTGGAGCATACATTTCAGCAATATATATATTATCTCTAGTATCGATAAATAATGCTGATGGTCTATTTCTTCTATCACTGGGATCCCACGGAGAAGGTCTAGAAATATAAAAACAAAAATACTTGTAACACTTGTATAAGCCGTGATGTAAAAATAAGTCTGAGATCGACACTTAATCTTTAGCTAAGAAAATGTTCACAATCAGTTCTGATCAAAATATCGTACAAATCTAAATAAATTGCACCTTATCTGAGTTTCTTTTAACTTTTCGCGAACTTTAGTATCAAAAAATCTTCAGTCTTACACAGGGCTATCATCCAATTTGTATACTGTAGTTCCAGCACGATCACCACCATTATTAACTGAATATCGTTGTAAACGACTGTTTTCATCATCTATTACATAAAAATATTGATTTCTACTATCGAATGCAACATTAGATGGATTATTTAACAGATTAGCATCTCCACCTGCTCGTCCTAGATTATCACCGGCCACTACAACTCCACTTTGTTGCCATTTAATTGATCCATTGCTTAGTAATTGATTAACTAAAATATTTAAAAAAAAGATTATAATATCATATTCTTCATAAAGAATATTGTTGTTTAATATTCACATCATCGCCTTAGGCTTTATCTAAATAACATACCTGATGAGCCACGTCTACTTATTGGTTGTTGAAATCCGCCGTACATACTAATTGTGATTGATTTTGATTTCTTGTTTCTTATCTGGAAAAAAAAATGAATATCTTTCACTTCACATCTAATCTCTTTTCTCTAGCGCATACGAATATTTATTAAATTTAACAATCTGATCTATACAGTGTGAATATGAGGGAAGTTATCGTATAAGATAAAAATATATATCTTCTATTGATTTTCTACTCAAACTTTTTCTCAGTAGAAGAGATTCAGTATACAGAAAAAAAGGTCTAGAATTAAAATGAGAAGTAAATGTTAACTATTTAAACTAGAAATAAAAAGTGAATCTGCTGTTTTCGTTTGATTTTTATCATTTGATTGAATACTGAGAGAAGAAAAACATACACATATATATATGGAACATTGCACGCATTATATTATATTTAAATCAAATTTGAAACGATACTTTTTTACGAGAGTAACGATCTCTAATATGAACAAATATCCTTAGAATAACATACATAAAAGACATAAAATAAAATGATAATTACCAATAAATAATATCGAAAAGCAATCAAAATTGAAAAAAAATCGATCAATATACTAACCGTAAATATATACAGGAAAAAAAACAAAAACAAAAATCAAAATATGAATGATGTGCATATTATCTTAATTTTTGTTTGAGTGACTATTGATGCATAAATCGTGTATCTGTTACTTCAATCAACAGAAAAATAAGTAAACTGTTATATATATAAGAGTTCATTGATTCTGTTACGTTTATTTTTTTATTCATCTGACAAAATATTACCTATCACATCTTACACATCAAATTAATATATGAGAAATAATAAAATATACGTATCTGAATGTACTATACATATTCAATTAATTTCTCATCCATTCATTCTCAAAACGTATTACTCATTAAATAAATTTATGTAATGAGAAAAAATTTCCAATTATTAAATTGCTTGGTAATGGATGTAAATGTAAACGAAAATAAGACACCTACATTCTCATCCTTCTATAAGCAATAAAATAAATGTGAATGTAGTCATTTTATTACACTTATTCATGTATCGTTTCAAGTTTTTTTGTATAATTGATTATTGAGATGAAATCACAGTCAATCTAGATGAATCTGAATTTACTCTCTACCATTCATAGATTTAAAACTGATATCATTTTCGTATAGATAGAAACGGTAAAACAAAATGATGATCTTGAAAAAAAGGAATTGATATCACTTGTGTTTTCAAATTTGTAGTATATTATAATGATTAATTATATTATAGGCATCAAATAACGATGTTGAACTATTGATTCTACACAGTTCATTCAATATATCAGTACTTGAATGTTAGGGTGTGAAATAAATATCACTGCTAAATCTAATGACAGATAAGAACATTCGTAATTAATTAATATTTATAGTTAATGAATAAGGATGTGGATGAGTAGATAAAAGACAAGACATCTACACTCACACTCACATCCGACTTATAAACTTTTAATTAAGCAAAAAAAGACTTTGATTTATTATTCAAATATAAATATATAAAACCAGAAAAAATATATTTTTCTAGTTCATTTATACAATATGCAACAGAATAGTAAAAATAATTTTGCTAGTCTTAATAAAAAATATTCTGATTATGTATCTCTAGTTTGTCTTATTTCTCAAAAGGTAATATTAGATAAGTTATTTTTAATATTATAAGTATTTTTAATATCTAAAATCGCTTCTTGTAACAATGACTGTAATTCTTTAACACGTTGACTGTCCGGTGTATCATATGTGATGCATGATACTTTGGATTGAGACGTCCCGTGCATCACATATGATGCACGCGCTGCATATGATATTTAAACTATTGAAATATATAGGCACGATGTAAACAGTACCCGCGAGAGCGAGGGGGGGTAGGGGGTAAGGGGTAAGGGAGGGTGTACCCCCCCCCCCCCCACACTCCGCCGATAATTCGAATTTTGTTTTCAACGACGGAAGCTGATTTGGAAAAAATTTTGTGTTTTTTCTAGCAAGTTTTTCTCTATAGTATTATTCTAAGAGAGACAATTGAATCATATGTGTTGCATGGAAGAAAAGCATCAAAGGTATGTTTAAAAGTTATTTTTGTGGTATATGAACGTAATACACTTCAAAAAAAATATATTTTAAAAGTACGAAAAAAGTAAAAAATGGACGTAGAACAAGTACTCATTTTTTTGTATGGGGACAGTCAACGTGTTAAAGATATTTTTGTATGAAGTTCTTCAGATTGTTAAAAATTTTATATATTTCGTTAGTAAGTCATTAATTCGGTGGTCTTTATTAGTATTTGAATTACAGCCATATTCTCTAAAAAAAATTCTAATTTTGCTTGTAATATTCTCGTGATATTTTGTTGTTTTCCGTAAAAATAAAAATATAATCGAGAAATATTTTTCAGTTATCTGAATATGAGTTTTATTCTTAAAGATGGATGGGTGGAGGTTAAAAGGTGAGAAACCGACACCCACCCCTTCAAAGTGAATTTGTGCTGTCTTCTTTATTGTTTTTTTTCAAATGACATGTCAATACTTTCAGAATTTCGCTCGCTTGTGCACACAAAAAGGACAGAAAGAAAAGAATATACAAGAGAAAATTAGAAATTTTGTTCTCATATCTGACGTATACTACTTATGAACATGCAAAAGAAGAAGAAAGTAATTTTAGTCGTTATATATTGACACAACGAAGAGAACAAAGACGTCATAGAATGTACATTTTTTAGAAGTTAGATGCTAATGAACATGAATATCTGGAAAAGTTTTCCAACAAAAATGAATCATGTCATATGTGTTAAATACAACATATTTCTAACTATAAATATTCTATTTTTTCTCAATGTATTTTATGCAGCATTTGACGTCATTCCCTGATTTTCTCTTTTTTTACTTTTCTAAAAAATCATGATAAATATTTTATTCAAAGCTGATTTTGAGAAAAGGAAATAACATTAATCTTTTTATTGATATAAGATCTTTTTTTGTTGTTCCAAATGCTACAATATTCTAAACTGATTATTTAAGATAAAACTTGTTTTTATTTAACTCATGCAAAACAATTTCTATTTAATCAAGAGAAATATATCATTTTAAACTTATTTTTGTATCATCTCACGTAAGGATATATCAAAATTTTATTTTAACATTGTTTCGTTTCGATTAAAACTGATTAGTTAATGATATTGAATATTCAATGAGAGATAATCTATTTCTTTTATAATTATATCAAATACTGATCAATGATCTTTGAAGACAAACAGAGTTTTTTTTCTTGGTTTTAGATTGTAAAAACATTCAATATGATAAATATTCTCTTGAATTAATAGTGCTGAAAGATGGAAGAAATACTTAATTTCACATAGTAATAAAAAAGTACATTGAAAGTTTAACGAAAATAAAATCGTAAAATAATTACTTATCAATTCTGTTATTTTAAATAGCACTTGTTTATTAAAATCAAATAATGACCACATATAATTATAACAAAGCGAAAAAATCTCTATATGTGCGATAAAGAAAAGGTACAAACCAGTGAAGTTAACGAAAGGAATTATCGAAGTTTAACAATATATAAATGTTGAGTAACTTTGATAGAAGTAATTTATACACTAAAACTGCTGAATAGATACGAATTGACTGTAAAATCGAAAATCTCCACTAGTGCATCGAAGTACTGAAACAATGTTAGTTTTTTTTTCTTAAACGATACACCTAGACGCACATTTCATTCGTATAGAAAAGAAAAAGAATAATATAGGTGATGGGATGATGTATATATATGACTGCCTAACAGTACTTGTTTTGTGTCTTTTCTCTTTTCTTTTCGTCATTCTTGGTTTTTATTACAATAGCAAGACCACGTTATATTTTTATTATTACCCATATATTTTTTATTCACAAAAGTGAATATGTGGCAGTTAAAAGAAGATATGTACTCATTATTTCAATCAGAAAAATATGCTCCGATCAATGGAATACGTTCGATCTCCTGTTTAGCTATTGTTTCATTTCATATCGGTTGCGTATTGAATTCATTGATTCCACCATATCCACATATACAATGGATGACTTACTTGAATAGTTATACATACAGATTATCATCTCTTGCAGTGTTATTATTGGAAACATTTTTCATGCTATCTGGTTTTCTTCTCACATTGAAATTCATTCAACATCAAGATTCTTTCTCATTGAAAGAATATCCTTTATATATAATGAAACGTGCCTGCCGTTATTGGCCGGGAATCTTACTGATTACCATGCTGATGTTGATATTAGGTGAACCTGAAGGAAACTGGACAAGTTTCTGGCTATTTTATCAAAATTTTGTTAATATGAAACAATGGTCATGGGGTTTTTCTGCACTCTGGAGTATCAGTCTTGATATGCAAATGCATATAATACTACCCATCATTCTTCATATCGTCATTAGTTCCAAATCCGATTATCAGAGAACTTATTTATCATTATATATACTTGTTATATTGTCCATTGTTTATTCAATACTTGTTTTCAATCCAAAGACTATGAATATTTTGATACATACATATCATAATAGTACCTTAGCGCTAGCAATGCCGCAATTGTTTATTGATTGGGTTACAGTTGAATATAATGTCACACTAGGATTTGAAAAGGTGATCGAGCCAAGTCCAGTAAAACCGTACTTGGAACTGATGTACTTCTCAATACCAGGTCGATATTCAAGCTTTATAATCGGATCTATTCTCGCATTTACTCTAATCAATGCTAAAAATAACACTATGATTCGTTACGGAATGATTAAGAAATATACTTATTTAACATTCATTTTCCTATTTATGGCTATATTGACAATACCATCTGAACCAGATACAATCAATCCTGTAGTATTAACGATAATGTTTTCCATTATTCGACAAATATTTGCAATATCATTAGCATTTATTCTCTTTTCAGCTATTTGTCCATCTACACATCCCTACTATAGTCCATTGATTAGATCATTTTTATCGCATCCTATCTGGACACCGATTGCTAAATTGAGTTATTTGATATATGTAATTCATTGTCGAATTGCATTCGAATTGATAATGACTCACAGTCATATATTTAATCCTACATACTACTCAATCGATATTCTAACAATTGTATGCTTCATACCTGTATTAATAAGTTGTCTCATCATATCTGTTATTTGGTTTATTTTTGTCGAAAAACCATTTCAACGATTAATCAATAAGCAGTTATCCAGTTATGAAAAGTTTCATGCAATATAATTCACTCAAAGATTTTTTTCAGTAAAATGAACATCTACAATTTCTGTATTCTAATTTAACTAGTGGAAGTATTTAAAGTACTAAAATATGAATAATAATATTAATCATTTGAGCAAAACATAGACTAAATGACTCATTCTATGTAGTTTTTATCTCAAAGTTGATTATAATATAATTAATAGCCATTTCAGAGTTCAATAACTTTCGATTAACAAAAATGATCAAGACTAGAATTTTGTTATTAGAAAAAACAAGCTCCAAAAAGTCCTTTACAAATGCGTTAAGTTCAAAGACACTTGTTCTATGCCTGTTTGTACATCAATATCTTATTATTACCTATTTTTAAAGTAAGACTATCAGTTCGTTTGTATTAAAAATGTATTGAATAAATCTAAAACAAGTTATTTACCAGAAAAGTAAGTATGATACTTCTAATTAAAATGGGTAAACAGTTGATAAGATAACGCTTGATCGATCTAAGAATTAAAACTAATACATAATTGCTAGAGTTCTACTACTCACACTCAATACAATTATACAGAAAAAGAATATTATAAATTTTCTAATAATTAGTTTCCATTCACAATGTAATCTATTCAGATCAAGAAAAATATTGGATCATAATCTTCTTTTCTTGTTTATGTTGATCCAACGCATAACCATCGACATCGTATGCATATGATTACCATAAAATTCAAGAACAGGCATTTTCTGGTCATTTATCTTGTTCTTTATATTTTTCACCAACAGCAGCAAGTACTAACCGTCATACTTCAGCACGAGCATTGAAATAATAAAATTTGTATATTGGTATTAATGTTGTTTGAATTGGGATTTGTTTGATGATGAAAAAAAGAATGAGAACAAGTGACATGTAGGGGTTAAACTTATATAAAAGAAAAGAAAAATATGATATGTTCGTCTTTATTTTGCTTCGCCATCATAACATATATATGAAGAACGAACGAACGAAAACAGAACAGAAATGATGACAGTACATTCTTTTTCTTTGCTTTTAATATAAAAAAAACGTTATTAAATGATAAAACAAAGACGATGTATTTGATGAAATAATAAATATTTAGTTTTTTATTACATAATACATAATTATATGAATCTCATTGAAGAAAAATGATTTGAAATTCTATATTTAAAATGCCACTAAAGAAAATCATAACAAAAAATCTATAAATGTTTATTGATTCGGCTTTTATTCTTTAAAACTGTGTCTTGGGTCGTTGCTTAAGATATTCTGCGATTTTAGGTTGTTTTTCAACTTCCGCACGATTCTGTTTTAACCAAGGAAAATTATTCAAACAATCAGCTTCGGCTTCAATATATGTTTGTGCAAAATTGTAGAAGTATAAATCTGCCCATGTTAATTGATTACCAACAAAGAAATGACCACCATTACCATATAGTTTACCAAGTGTCTCAAGATTTTGTAAATGTTTTGGTAAGTCGTCAGTGAAGAATTTTTTTTTGATTTCTTCTTTTTTAACTGGATCTTGTTCAAAAATAGTTGGTATAAATCCCTTGAATGAGTCTCCAACTGTATCAACAACAGCATCGACTTTTGCTTGATCAAAATTGTCTTTACCAGCTAAATGAAATTCTTTAGCAAGATATCTTGCAATTGCTGATGATTGTGGTAATTTAACACCATCAACTTCAAGGACAGGCATTTGACCTAATGGCATTTCAGCTTTGTGTGCTGGAAATTGATCTCGTTCATAACGAACATCTTCAAATTTTTGACCAGCAGCAGCAAATATTAGTCGTGATACTTCACCGAGACCACGTCCATTGAAATAAGTAAGTTTGTATGATGGCATTGATGTTGTATAAAGTGAAGTTTTGTTATAGAATAGAAAAAAAGTAACTATATGTAGTACGTATATGAGGTGTGGTATTTATACGTGAAAGAGAAGAACCATCGCGTGCGTTTTTTTCGCTTCGTCATCATTACATCGAAAGTAAAACAGAACAGAAATAATGACAGCGCATTTTTATTATATTCCTAGTAGAGAAGAAACCACACAATATGGTACACTGTCAAGGTTATTTTTTTTTTGAGAGAAACATAAAATATACAATATGTGTTATAGTTCGGTTTATTACGATAAAGACAAAAACTATTCTAGATTTCGTGTAAGAACTAATTTGTATAATTATTGAAGTATCGATTTATTCTAGGTATAACTAATTGATTATTAACTAGTAGTGCATAGATATTTGATAAGCGAATGGAAACATTGGAAAGAATTCTATAGGAATATTCTGATCCTAATATTCTCATAATAGTTAGCTTTTATTTTGGTTTATTTGAATCGTTAATTGATTGAATGCAAGGAGAAAAAACTTGTAGGGTTCAATTTAGTATCAAAAGAAAAAGAGTCTATTTAGGTAAGCTTTCAATAAACAATATATGAACAAAGAACATCATTACTCTAATTAATATTTTTGTTTTATTCGAACTAATCAGTAGACACTTTTGACGAAAATTCGTAAGATCAAAAGTATCATTATTAGACTTTTTCAAAGATCGGTTGATATATTTTATTAATGAAGTATTTTGAACAAATAGATGAAGAATACAATTAGATATTTTATTTCTATAACATTGTTATTATTTAGCTATAATAATTAATATTCTTTAAATATTATGTGTATGAAAATCTTTAAAAATTATTTTCTATTTGAAATATGCTTGATTATTTATTAGTGATTAGAAAATGAAATTATATAAGTTGTTTACATAAAATAAGATTAGATTAAAAATGAAAAGAAGGTAAAACTATTCAGCTACATGGTTAAATAAAAACTGTAGTTATTTTTATTTCTTTTTAATGACAGATAAAATATTGGTAGGTATGTATGTATATACTGTAATTATTACATTTTCAAATGGGATTGATCCACAATTATTACCATGCTTCTCTGAATCAAAAGTAATTGTGCTATTTGCAGGTGTAACATCCGCTTTACCTTCAACAGTAATATAATTAGTGAATTCTTGCGGTACATTAAGTTGACGAAGTTGAGTTGGATCGCTTACATCAACAGTTAAATTGAAAATCTTTGCAACTATATTTCCAGTTGGATCGGGAAAACCAGTAAAAACATATTCAGTAAACTTTGCTTCGTGACAAGTAGCACTTGACAATTTGATTAATATAAAATATCGGACATTGACATCAACAGTGACATTGCCAACGCCTACTTGGCAAGTCCAATTACCATCGTTTCGCATTTCCAGTGTATCAACTGGAGTACCGTTTGCTGCCGGTAATGGTGTTGAAGTGTAATTGAGAGGTATGGGTATGTTTCTACATGCAGCAAAAGTACCATCAACATTAGCACTTGATAAATGGCAGGTATTGAATAAGCAGACTATGATCGCAAATACACCACATAAATGGTGGAACATTTTGCTGTCTATTGATATACTTGAATTTTAATGATCTACAAGAGATTGATTTCATATCAATATAAAATATTTCAACATTCATTATAACAAATAGAACGTGAATTTGTGGTCACACAAGTCATTTATTTAATTTCATGTGATGAAAATCTACTGTTTTACTATGTTTAGATGGTTTCAGAATAGTACCTGTAAGATTTTATCTAAATCTACTTGATGAGATTCTTACCTAAAAGAAAAACAAATATGATTAATCAACTTAGTCATTTTGTATTCTTTAACTCGTTTCAGTTCACTATCGGTAAGTCAGATGTAACTATATCACATTTATCATATAGTTTCAATGGTAAACCTATTTTACTTGAATTGTACTTTCAGTTTTATGAAATTAATATTGATTACAGTCTAGAACGATAGTCACGACCGACTATACTAATTAATTGAAAATCATATTCAATAATTCTTGTTTTGTTACCTAAGTAAAATAAATCATTATTTATAATATGAATTGAAAAGAAAAACATTATATTAACCTTAATGTCCAAGAATGAAATCAATGTTAAATAAAAAAGAAATCGATGAACTATATATACTACCCTATTCACTTCAAGTTTCAAATATTAAATCAAGTAAAAATAATGAATTATTTTAATATAAAATTCTGTTTATCATAAATCTGAAATAGTGCATGAAGTAAAATCATTAAATAAATAATAATTCATAGATATAAAATTCGATTTCGCATGTATTTTAAGTACTAAATGAAGCAAAAAAACTAATAAACGATCATTAATATGTAAAAATATATATTTATCGTAAGTTTGAAGGAGTAAGAAAACTAGAAATAAAAAGAAGCGATGGTTTTTATTCATATATTATACTGGTTGGTACCTGTATTAATATACTAACTCTAGCCATCATAATAAATTTAAGTAAAGTATAGAAAGTAAACTAAGGTTGAAGTTTGGCAATACGAATACTTCATTTAATCTCGCTCATACTGACAGTTTATTAATACATATATATTATTCTTTCTCCTTAGAAGTATTTCTTCTTCTGCTATAGTCATTTGATAAATGATTCAAAACAAAAACATTCATTGTCTCATAGACAATTCAGTATGCTTCATAATTTTAACTTATCCAAAAATCCCGTTTTCTGAATATTCCCTTATGAAGGTCTAAGAAAATATTTTTTGTTCATTGTCACTGAATTCCTCATGTCCAATTAATAAAGAATTTGAAATGGATTGACATCGAGCAATGCAGTTTTCACTGTCGAAAAATGGAAATAAAGACACTTTCAACAGAATACCACAAAATCTTCTGTTTTTCGTGCATTTCACAAGCAGACTGGTATGATAAGCTGTATTCTCTTTCTCGTAGAGAAGAGTCCAGTAAACATAAATTGTCTGCTTGTGTGTCCGCAGGGTCAAAAAAACATCGAAAATCAATTTTTCACAGTTTTCATTTGTTTTTTCAGTAAATATGAAGAAAATGCATTTCTACGAGAAAGAACTAAGCGAGTCCTCGGACGAGCGTTATTTTAATAATTAAAGTTTTTGCATAGTTTTGTAGCTCTTTATCTATGGATGGCAGAATACTCAAAAATCAATAAATTAACTTGGTGCTGTTGAGAGACATAGTATTTTTGCTGAAAGTTTTATATAACAGCGTAACGACCTGATATCAACTCTTAAACGAAATAACCCCGATGTCCTTTTGTTTTTCCAGGTACCTTTCCTTTCTTTTGCATTTCAATTCACAATTATTAGCTTGTTCTTCGATCGTATATGTATTTCACTTTTATGGCATAATTAAATCCTTGTTCTCTTTCGAATTTGCCCTTTTTCTGCTACTGTGCGAACTTTGATGCTCCACAGTCCACTTACGATTCTTGTTATTTAAAATAAATTTACACGCACACATTAGCTCTTAAGTGGTACCTATTATATATCATATCTTCAACTCTCTATATCAATCCTTTTTAAAATTATCCAAAAAATACTCACCCATCCTTTTTTGGAATAAAGATTTATTTTTCATTCGTATATACGTATCAATAAATGAACAATAGAAATAAAACTGAAGTAATAAGAAAAACTGTTGAACTTTTCCATAAAATCAATGAATTATTTATACAATGTTATAGCAAAGTAAAAAATCGAATAAATATTTTAATCAATAAGAATTTTCAAGATTAGATGTTTTTAGAAACTCGATTATGTGTTAATTTATAACAGATATTTACTGAAAAACAAGTAATGATGAAGCAATCGTAAATAAATTCTTGATTATTGGGATGATATACATTATGTTGAAGTTATTTATATATATACGATATTATATGCCATCTCTTACCGAGAATTTAAAATATCATGATTTTTCAAGACAAATTGTATATTCGCAATCGGTGTAGATTTAGACCTTGTGATAGTCAGTAGAATCGAGAATGAAAAAAACTTTTTTTGATCTTTCTAGGTACTCGTACTTACGAATGTAAAACAAAATAATTAATTTTTTTTTAAATTAATTCTAACAAAAGGATACACGGTATTCTTGTTCTAAACAAAATATACAAAGAAGTTTAATAATGAAAAACAGAATCAAGAGAGCATAATTCAATTATTCTTCACTATATAAGATAATCAGCTTACATGAAAACATCTCCTTATATAACAAGATCAAATGTGAATAGTTAATCTTTCAATTTTTTCTAAATCAACAAAAAGAGAATAGCTATTTGTTTAATCCATCTTAAGAATAAATATACATACATAAGTTTTATATCCTATTGACATTCCGAATAAGTGATCTAGATCTATTTTTCCTTCTTTTTAGACAATCGAACGTTAATCATTATATTGAAATTTAATTATCATGTCAAATTCCAATACTCGTCTAATTGAAAATCTCAACAATGCGACATTTTGGATTAACCGAATAAGTCCAATGCTTTCGATTATATTTGGAACATTTGGAAATGTTTTCAATATTATCATATTTACTCGTCGTTCATTACGTAATAATCCATGTTCAATATATTTTTTAGCAGGTTCAATTGCAAATTTTTTTGTTATCTATGTAGCTTTATTAACACGTTATCTTGCAACTAGTTGGAATTGGGATCCAACAGCGACAAATATGGCTTGGTGTAAAATACGTTATTTTCTTATATATCCTGCACTTAGTTTAGTTCTTTGGTTTATTGTACTTGCTAGTATTGATCGATACTTTTCAAGTTCACATAATATACGACGTCGTCAATTAAGTACTGTAGTAATAGCACGAAAGAATATTATCTATACAACTGTATTTATGTTTTTAATTAATATACATTCTTTAATATTTGCTAGATCTGTAGTAATCAATAATGTATCTAGTTGTACTATTCTACCAAATGATTATTTAGTTTTCTTTAATCTTTTTGTTCCTATTATTTCTTGTATATTACCACTTATATTAATGGGTATTTTTGGAATTTTAACAATTCTTAATGTTCGTACAGTTCGTAATCGTATTGATCCACAACAGAATAATAATAGAAATGAACGTTTACGTTCAAATGATCGTCAATTAATAATAATGCTTTTATCTCAAATAACAATTATTTTTATAATTGTAGCACCTTGGTCTATTATTAATATGTACAGTGCAATTGGTACAGTTATATTTAATGTTCAATTTTCTACAAATGGACAAGCTATTTATAATTTTTCATTCAATCTTTTTCGAATGTTATATTATATTAATCCAGTTGTTGGATTCTATATTTATACTCTTTCAGGTCATAGATTTCGTGTAGAAATAAAACATTGTCTTCAACATGGATTAAAATTTATTTTAACAACAACTGGTCTAATACAAAATCAAAATCAAATGAATAATAATATTATTACTTCATTCACACTTCGAACAGGAAGAAATACTGTTCATCCTGATCAACATCAAAGACAAATCAATAGAACATCAATTGTATAAATATATAAAAAAAACATTTTCTCCTTTTCATTTTATTATTGTTGTCATTGTGTTATTATTAAATTCAACTTTTTTCATTTCACAATATTTTATTCAAACTTAGAATACGATAGGAAAGTTTAGTGATAATTATAAATTTGTCAATTAAATGCATTTAGTTTCTTATCTATTGATCTTTGAAATCATGAAAATCAGTAAAAACGAGTAAAATACACTAATTTGGTTTCCGTATCCTAAAAACCAATGTACACTAGTCTTGAAAATTCAACCGATCAAAAAATAAAATTTTCTTTTATCTCTTTACTAGTGAATAATTTTTTCAAACTTTGAAAATTTGGAAACATGTATCATATTAGTTGTAGAATAATAAAAATACTAAAACAACTATTGACAAGAGATGTTACTGATCAGTAAGATCAGACTCGATTTAAAAGTTCATGATTTTTCTTTCTTGAATTAAGAACATTTTACTGAGTTTATCACTTATGGACAAGATATCAAGCAAAAAATCAAATTACCAATTTGAAACTTTGTTTTTATAAGATTGCTAAGACCATTTAATAATACATATGAATGTAGAATAAACTATCCTTCCTATTCAGTGAGATATAAGAGTAATTTCATTGTATATTAAGTTTCTGTATGCGATTGTTTCGAGTATCGACAACATAAATATGACCCGAACGATCAACAATTAATCATTGAGAATAGGATACATGCGATAAACTATTTTCTTTACCTCGTCCACCAGCAACAACAATACCTTGTTTTACATCTTTTACCATTTTATCACAAGGGTGTGGGT